TTCTTGTAATATTGTAATAAAGTCAGGTGATTCATATAGATGCATATATACATATTTGTATATGTGATATGTCTGTCATGATTTCACGCAAATTTCGAAGGTATCTATTTCATATATATGTGTTAGTAAAGGTTTACGAAACTGTCAATTTACATATATATAAAAATACTTCTGTATTCGCCTTAGTGATTTAAAAAGAAAGACGAATTACAACTGGAGTAGTGAATTTCAAAACTGTTCCGTTTTCACTTAGCCTTTCTTGCATTCAGTACTTATGTGTAACACTGTAAATCGTGTGTAAGACATTCGTCTTCCGGATGAATATTAGGCTGTTGTTTATTGTGTAGATATTTACCTTTTTTTAACAGCAGAGGTATAACAGATGCAACTTCGTCATTGTTTAATCTTGATACTACTTGAAAATCCCAGTAAGTAGTACAGTATAGTTTTCGGGGTAAACTATTTCGATATCCGCATCAGGATCTGCGTTGAACGGTTCACAACTGATGATGATACCAGATATCTGTTAGTCTGTTTGGAAGGCTGTTATTTAGCTGTAGTGTGTGCTTCTACATGAATTGTACTGGGATGCCTGGACTCTACGCGTGGTTATTTCTGGCCAATGCCGCTTGATAACAGCGAGTAGGGACTTTATTATTGTTGCGTTATGTAACTTCACTTCCAGCATCTGCCTTTCCATAGGTTTTTCAGCACTGACGCGGACCAGGAATATCAAATATGCTCAGCATGCTTGAGTTGTTCCGCTGTGCAGGAAAGTTGCGTGAATCATAGTACTTTTCGAATTACGTTTAGTGATAGGTACTTGAAACAACATTCTACTTAACTAGCGCTCATTTCTGCTTGATATATGTGCCTCTTAATAATAATTTCAATGAACTGCTTTTGATCTTTAGAGTAAACTGTTTCTTTGCTGTTTTCAACAAAAGTTATACTCATGGTGTTGATAAACTCTATTTCAAATGTTCAGTTCAGTATAAACTCGGGCTACAAATCTACCTTCGTTCAGGATACTTTCATCCGAGATATTTTCAATGTCTACTTGACTGAATCTAGTCTTACATGTCAGTTAATTCTATGCTAAAGATGAGTAACATCTTATTGACATGTGATCATGAGAGATAATGAGAGACTGAAAAGTTAACAGCTTATTTAAGAAACAGATTTATTGACAGTTTCGTAAATTTGCCTTCATGTGACCTGATCTAGGAGTCTTCAGGGAGCGCCAATTGAAGAAATATGAAGTTTACACACACTTTTAGAGATTTCATCAGTGCATCTACAAAAAAGACGTTTTCGGGGATTACTAGAGTCAGGTTTGTGTAATTCACATTTCCACTCACTTTTACCAATCTTCTAGTAAAAATTGACTAATTATCTTATAGCAAGAAGTGATTCAACCCGGTAATAAGTTCACTATTGAAGCATTCTGTATTGAAAGTGAAGCTTTCAACTGTTTACTTGCAGCGATTTGATTGGTTTGAAGGTAGGTTAAGGAATGATATTAGTTAGAGAACCTTTTTGAAAATCAGAATGTTCTAAACAGCTGTTTTATTCTATTTGGATGCTCTTCATCAGAAGGTAATTTCGGACCCACCAAAGATCGCCTCGTAACGTGAAGACGTTTAGTTGAGTTTCCGGTGGAGTCATTGATTCCTACAGCTCAATGGTCCTAGACTAGATTAAGAAGGGAAATGGGTGTCTCATGGCAATTCTAAAAATGACTCCACCAGTCTGAATGTACAAAGTTGGCGAAAGGTTGTGGAGGGATAGTAAATATAGAAAATCAAAACAAATGATTCAGCAGAGAGACTCTTTTCAACAACGAATTTATCATCAAGCTGTACAATCGTATATATATATATATATGGTTTTTAAGAAGTTATATCCGGTGAGGGAATTGAAACATAGGTGTGAATGCATAAAATAATAATAATAATATGAAATGCAATTAAAACTAAAATGTTTGTGATTACAATGGTGGTTAAATATCAAGTGGCAAAGCAAATTAATGTCATATATAGAATAATTCATAGGATGGATAGAACTTGAAAAAGGTGTGCAATTATAAGATTAGTAGACAAATCGAATAAAATGAAAACGTTACGTAATATTGTGTTAAATTTAATAGCATAGAATTTAATGTTGCATAAAGGAATTGGTTTAGAATGACAAGTGGAACAAGTGAAATAATACCGGGGACAATGAAAAGTGAGAGTAGTAATAGTTAGCAGGAATTTAATAAGCATAAATGTTAATAAAACTAAAAAGTTTAAATGCTAAACAATAAAATGAAAAAACAAATCATGTCCATAGTGTTAAGGTGAGTGAGTGTGTGGATTGGTATTGATCGCTTAAGTTGTAACTTCAGTTCCTTAGATTGATTTTGAGATAACACCGAAAGAATGAGATGACGAAATGACTTTTACAGCAGAAGGATCGATACGGTAATTAATTCCCTGTGATCTTCTGTTGTTGACTAAATGGTGACGTGATGATACTGTGGAAACTGAATTTCTACGACGCAGCCCCGGTGGGATGGAAGCGCTTTGAGCTGTCAGTAATCAATAGATCGATGATTATTCATTTTCAGTAATTCCCAAATAATGGCAGCCTATGGTGAAAATCCACGTGCATTATTTGTAAGATTCTCACTAATTTAGTAAATTCAAAGAGAATTTAGATTCATTTTTTGAAAATGATATTTTGAACTTAGAAGCCTAACGAAAGAGAATTCCCTTCACTTGGGAGAAAATGCGTTAACATGAGCGAATTACTTCGTGGCATTTTGAGTTTAAGATGACATAAGACTTCGAACAAAGTTCGCACTCCACTTTGGAAACCGGTTATCTTCCATCGATTGTAATGGTGAGTCAGTAACTATCTAATATACATGATAATTGAACCTCCGGTCGACCCTGACCAGTCTATTTCAACGAGCGCCTTCTTCAAAATAGTCTACAAAGTGAAGAACAGTCTATCACAGAAAATACACCTTCCTCTTTACTGCATCCTGCCAACTATAGCTATTCAGAAAGAGACAGAGAGAGGCCGGTTCTCTGAAGATAAAAGAGAACTACTCAACTACTTCTAATGTCATGGTAATGACCCTCTTGTTTTCTGCCAAGTGGATTTCTTGCTTTCGAACTTTAACTCGACCGACTGTCACTATTGTTGATGATAGGTATGTTAGTTCTTGTAGGCATCTGCCTAATATTATGGCGTCTGATACCGACCATCCTTTTTATTATTCGCAAGTTTTTCCTTTCCGCAGATAAAACGAGAAGTAGTTTCATAAGAATTTAAGATCGTACGTTTACTAAATATAAAAACTTTACCATACCATGTTTAGCAAGCATTTTGTGAGAAGAGATGAATGCCAGAAAAGGGCTTATTGAATTTTTAAATCAGTAACCGGACTGCAAAGTTTAAGCACAGGTTATTATTACATGTATTTTCTATTATTTTATTTATTTATAATCAAAATATGTTCCACAAACTTTTAGTTTTTGTGGTTTTATTATTTTTTTCAGTTTTATATATTTATTGGTTTGGGGATTTCATCATGAGCTGACATCAGTTAGAGAACCACTGGAAAACCAACAAGGAATACTGGACAGCTGTTTCGTCAGCCTACTTTGGGTGTCCTCATCGGTACGCACCCACATCGTGAGGTTAGAAACCAGGACCTTCTGGTTACAAGGCAAGCGAGCTCGTAAACTATTAAGCCACTAGGACTCGATCCAGTGGGTTGTAACCCGAATGGGTGAGTGTTGATGAAGAGTCTCAAACTAGGGCGGACGAAACAGGAGTCCACCACTCCCAGGTTTTCGATTGGTTTTTTGAAGGATGTTAACCCATGGTTAAAATTCTCCAACCAATTAAACAAAATGCCTACCAAAAAATCCATGATTGAAAGTCGATCTCAAAAATGTATTTTTTTCAAGAACTGGTTTTTAAGGATTAAATTTCTTTTTACGAGTTTGACCACGGGTTGATATCAGTTATAGAACCACTGAAAACCAGGAAGTTCTGGACAACTGTTTCATCCTAGTTTGAGAATCATTGGCAGTGCGCACCCACACCAGGGTTTCGAACCTAGGACCTTCCGGTTTCAAGACAAATTCGTATACTATTCCGCCTCTGGGACCCGAATCTTCAATGGCCGTCAAATGAATTCTAACTTCTACCAATTCTTGATTTAGCACGACTGGCACCAACCAATCGTCATCGGTGGAAAATCCATCCTCACACTTGACGGAGTTTCCTGGAGTTCTAGTGAGAGGTCGTGATCAGTGAGGTCCAAACAGCCCTAAATTCAAACCCCCTGGTGTGGGTGCGTACTGCCGATGATTCTCAAACTAGGATGAAACAGCTGTCCAGTACTTCAAGCTGATTTCCAATGGCTCTCTGAATGATATCAATCCGTGGTCAAACCACATATTTTTGTTTTAAAAAAGGAGCTAAACTGTTGCAACATGCATGAAAATGCTCAAAATTCCAGTCTATATGATTATGGTTGTTATCATATATCTTTTGTCTGTTGGAGATACATATACACCACATTTCATGAGCATATCGGATGAAGCATACAAAGAAGTCTTCAGGGAATGGGGCCACACGAAGAGAAGTTATTGTCTCTAATTTAAGCAGGCTTTTCTGAAACTTTATCAGGGACGCGAAATTATGACAGAATAGTCTGTTGTGTGATCCCACGAAATATTATATCAGATTGACTGACGTCTGCTAGACAGTTAACATGAGAGTGGAATTTGACCAATATGAAACAATATGGATTCTTTATGAAGTAATTTTATTTAACATAACACATAACACATAATGAGTGATACAGTGTTTATTTGAATAAAAGGATACTATATAATTAAAATGTATTTATCTCATGTAAAAATTGTACTCCGGATGAAAACGTTCAACAACAACAACAACAACAAAGAGAAATCGTTTTCAGTCATTTATAAGTCAGATGAAATTTCAATGTCTAAGAAACACTGTTCACTGAACTTTATATCTGTCCTAATAGGTAGGACATCATATGTGCAGTGCTCACATATTTTGTGATGTTCCGAGAAATCTTGCACCGAATAAGTCCCTGAAAATTCATGAATGTTATTAATAAACGAAAACGTAAAAAACAAAATAATAAAATCTAAAAGTTGGACGGTAACAAAAGTGGAACAAAAAAGAGTAAGTATACCGAGAGTAATGAATTTTAATCACACAGGCCAAATTTCGGGGTTGATAGCAATCGTATCGACTTTTCGAGCAACATGGATTTCACTATTCAATGGAACTTTCAGCTTTAGAAGTGTGAAGCAAATGAGTGATTAATTTGGAAGTTTCTTGTCATCATTGCACATATATTCTCCCACATTTGTATAACTCAACTCTGCCAATTTCTTCACAAACAAAGAAGCCATTTGGAGTCAAAATATAATTAAATTCTGATTTCTTTGTCTGTAGTCAACTGGAAAAAAAAGGGCCGCCCTGAATCGTCATCAAAGGCATCGTTACGTGAGTGTTCGTTGAATCGAAATCGCCTCATTATGAGCGAAATTGTCATGGAAAATTCATATCACTTCTACGTACCTTGTAAAAATTTTGGTTGTAATAAATGGCGTTTAGCAACCTCAGAAGTTTAAAGTCTCCATAATTTATTCAGGACAAAAGTAGTTAGAGCTCTATAATTATAAATCTATCATTTTTTGCCATGCGTCAGCCACTAAAGGCAAAAAGAATGAGATAAAATAACTCCATAATGTATGAGCATATATACATTGTCAACAAAGTTACAGGTTTCACTGCTGAGTGTAATCAGTGGTGTAAGAGACAGTATGAATACTTCAGAAAAATCAACCAACAAACAGGATAGACCATACGTAGTAGTGATGGCTTATGTATGCTAAAAATTAATGGATTTATCCGTTGAGAGCCTTAAAAAGGATCTATCGAAACGCCAGTTATCCTGTCTAACTAAAGGAAGCTTAATTGACACTCGTAGTTTGTAACTGGGATTCTTAATTCTAATGCTCAGCATTTGTTAATTATCAGAATTATGTGGGGTCCTACATTCTTGTAAACACGCCGTTACATCTGAGATTTCCGAAGCTAAATTAACACTGTACATTAAGTGTAACAGGGATTCCAAATTACTATAATTGATGGATTTTAATCCGTGTGGAGCCAGTCACATAGGCCGTACAATTAGGGCATGTCTATCGTCGGATTTCCAAACATCACCCTGCGTGGTGAAGTAAAAGAAAAACAAAATCCACTCGCGGCGCTATTCCATCTCATCTTGTGAAGACAGAACACAAGATTGATGTCAACGAGGTGGCTTTCAAAGCCATTTTCCGCATAGCAACAAATTTTAACTCTGCCTTGATAGTTTGTCTGCTGTATATTTCTGAGGCATTTGGGATTCACATTGAAAAGCCTAATTTATGTGTTCAAAAGAAGCTAGTTCAGACATTGTCCTTTACGTGACCATCTGGGTTCGAATGATCCTCAGTTTTTTGTAGAACTTTCCTTAATTTTAGTTGTTATTCTATTTCCTATTATATTTTTATTACTATTATTTTAAGCATCTTTAATTAACTGCAATTCCAGTGATCCTTCTTTACAAATCGATATTATTGGAAAAACACCAATATTGTTATTGACTACTATTCTAGAATATTCTTTGTATATAATTGTAGAGCCAGAAGAGAAAATTATCGGAAAGGATATTCTCTGCTCGATTATTTTGTTTTCAAAAATTTGTTGTACAGCATTTTATGTAAAAATAAAAACAGTGTTTCACTTACCATAATGATTTTAGAGTACTAGAATTTAAAATTGTTATTATGTAATCAGCGGTGAACAGCATTCAAAAATCACATTAATATACCTCACTATTGCAAATTTAATCAAGAATATCAGGGTTGAAATAAATTATCCTGTGATATGAGTATTTCATAATACATATATTGTGAATAAGATCAGAAGTCGACGAAGTTTTCAGTCATTCAAAGAAGACTTCAGGAATAAGAAAGCATCAAACATCACGGTGGCGAAATGCTGACAGTGGAAAAAGGATTGCGATTGCTGAGCTTTTTTCTAAATTACTTATCTTCTCTGGGTCAACCATTCTTACCTTAACTAAATTCTTATGTTCTCACAATCTGACTAACCCTGACCTACTAGTTTGAACTACGTAGTTGACCTCACAGTCATTGCAGGGTATTTTGTAAATTATATTATTTTGTCTAATTGGGTCCACTAGGTCCTTTAACCTACAGAGCTTGTCCCTGAGTGAGTTTGTAGATTTAAATGCCACCCTAATTCCTGCTTTATTTAGAATCCTACGTAGGGTCTCAGATGTCCCCTCTTTATATGGTATAACTGTAGATGACTTATATTCTCTCTTATTTATATTATTATTACTAACTTCACAATTCTTTTATTTTTCTTTTGGCCTTTTTCAATCTTCCTAATGAATTGTAAAGGATAGTTATTTAACACCAACGCTTCTTCTATCTGTTTTATTTCATCATTTAAGTCTTTTCTTGTACTTCTTAGTGCTACTGCTCGCTTTTTTAGACACTTAATTAAGCCTGCCTTAACAGTTAAAGCATGAGATGAATTAAATTCTACATATCTGTTAGCAGTATGCGTTGGCTTTCTATAAACACTAGTGTGTAGTTTGCCTTCTTCTATTCGTTTTATTTTACAGTCTAAAATCGCTAATTCTCTTTGCTCATTTTCGGCTTCAAATGTGAATTGTATTCCCTTCATAGGACAAAGCTGCCCATAAGTGGAAAAAGGAATTCAAGATAACTTACCATGTAACTTGGAAAAATTTCCTAACACGAAAAATGAAATAACACAGAATAAATTATATACCATTCTCGTAAAATAGTACATATATATATGGAGTTTTTCAAACTTTAGCTTCTGCAGACGTTTACATATGGTTCATTTGAATTTTATAATGTAGAGGCTAGAACTGAAGCTGTTGGATGATACTGGACACCATGAAGCAGAATAGTATTTCAGGAATAACTGATCACCCTTCATCATTGTTAGCATGGATAGATAGTGACTAGCAGTGGAATCCATGATTCGCCTTTCGTCTTATTTGAGACTCGTCATCTGGATTTACTTTCATACATTAGGGAGTATGTGATTGATGGAATCCTTAGTGAACCTTGAACCCAGTACCCATCATTTTGAACGCTAAAGCATTATCTACTAGACAACTTGTGCCATGAGAGTCACCTCGTTGAAGCATCTGCTTAAAGAAGCCGACATGTCAACAGAGGCCGAACACTCCAGTCCACTCTACGAAAAGGAAAGTGCGAATCAGACTAAAAACTTCTTTTGACGGTTATTCATTTTCCATTTTATTTCTGTGATAGCCTACATTTGGAAAAAAATACTCTTATGAGCAAAATTCCAATTTCTTAGACTCCATATTTTTTGATAACTTTCGAATTGTTGATGGTTGAATTGTAGAATACTGACCAGCTGTGGAAGAGGTTGGGCATGAGAATAGTTAACGCACCCTGTGACCGATAACATAAATGCTGATGAAAATTGAAGGGGTAGGGTCGATTTTTTTCACTTGGGGATAACAAGAAATGAAAACGAATAGTTGTCACCCTTCATGAGATAAGAAATTTGGGTGAACGAGAAAATTGATTTGTTTATAACTTACGATAATGTTTGCATCCATTTGCTAAATAACAGTTATAATATTAACATTTAGAGCGGGTGAGTTGAATGTAAATACAATTTGGAATGCGGGCGTTAGATAAATATTAATAATAATTCACTTTATTCCAAAAACAGTACTTGTGATACAGAATGGAATTTCCAGCATTAATCACTCTATTGCATCTAATTTCCTCAAATTATAAATAAAATTAATCACACAGAAAATTTTTCTACATTTACAATAGGGTTATTATCAAAAAAATATGCAGCTTATAAAATGGAAATAATAATAATGACAGCAACTAAGGTAATGATACTAATACAAGTGGAAATTGCTGTGGGCTTGTTTCACACAGTATTGTCGATGCGGTATACAAATCTTTGCATGATTAAAAATATTGAATATAATGTTTTCTTTACATGATTTGGTGATGGGAAAAAACAAAGATTACAGCAGTCATAGAGATAAGTTGGCATTTGCAGTTATGAAAGTGAAAACAAAGAATCAACAGGACCATAAATACAATAGAAATAATACAAGTAAAACTTGAAGGCATATAAAGATGGATGGAGGAGATTGTTTATTTACTAGATGAAAAAAGGTCAGTCAGTTCTTGCCTGACGCTATTTTCATCACATAAAATACGTGCCTGCCAAGTATGGTATCATAGAATTTTTATACTTAGATGTGCGAGCATACAGTTTTCTGAAGTTACTTCTTGTTCTACGTGAGGTGATGCAAGGTGAAAGCTGAGGGTAAAGTGGATGCTCCAAGTCAGACAAAATCCCTTTAGCGAATTTACTGCACGAAGTCAAGTGCCTATCGACAACGACGTTAACTATGTAGTCCACTGGGACACCACTCATCCTACTGACAGTCTTCAGCATTCTACGAATTGTGACAAAGTCTTTTTTAAGCAAACCAGGAAAGAATAAGGGTGAACAATAAAGAAGAATAGGTAGGATGCAAGAGTTTATGAATTGTAAGAGGAGAGGTTGAGTTATATATATATATATATATATATATATATATATATATATATAATAGCTCTATTCTGATAAATGCGTTTGCACATAATGCAGAAATTTTAGTGGGTTTCACAGCATAATATTTGAAATTGTACGCCAGTATAGATTGAGACTGATAAAGTGGTAATTAGAAGATTAAAACAAATCGAAATAAAATAAAACTGATGCATTTTGATGAGGAAAGATTAAGTAAGCTCAGTGATTCAAGCAAACTCGCCTATTTTACTAGCTCGCTAGTTTTCCAGCCAGTCGACAGCTATATGACAATGCCATGTGTTAGGTGATCCACAACGGAGAACCCAGTGAAGCGTTTGAAGTGAATACCGGAGTGGGACGAGGCTGTCTCGTTACTGTCTGCGCACAAGGACTGAAACGACAAGAATATGTTGGAACTACCAATAAGAAGACTGACTCTAGGAGATCTGGATTTTGCAGATGATTAATGACTAATGTCACACAAACTCGAAGGTTTGCGGATGAAAAGCAAAAAACTGGGGTAGAAAAAGCTAACAGGGAAGACAGGACTCCAGGTGAACATAAAGAATATGGAGGTGATGAAGACAACAGACAAGACAGTCAATAACAGCCAGCACTAATCACCATCAACGAGAGAGATTTGACAGAGCTTGGGAAGAATTGTTTCACTACAGGTGGAACAGTTGAAGATGTTGAGAGCAGCCAGAATCGGATAGGCAAGATACGCCTTTATCAATCTGAAACCCATTTGGAACAAGATTCATATTTTCAGTACCAGTGTAGGTCAGAAACCTGAAGAACCACAAAGCGTATTTCCGACAGGCTAAAGTAATTTTTGTTAACAGCTGCCTCCGCCCTGCACTGAAGATGAAGTGTCCAGCCAGAAAGAAAAGGATACAAGAAAGCCTGGAAACAAGTCAACCAAAAAAAAACTATTACTCAACAAATATGCAAGAAAAAATGGAGATGGATAGGGTATATGTTGAGAAGACTGTCAAATGAAATAGTGTGACAGGCCATTGCTCGAGTGAAACCTGGATGGGAAACCACGAGTGAGTGATACAAGGGTAACTTGAAGAAGATTATGCGGGGAGGAGTTGACAACCTATAGGTAATCTTGGGCCCAGATGAAATCGACAGCAACAAACAGAACAAAGTGGAGATGTGTTGTTGAAGCCCTATGTTCCACTTCGAACCCATGGGAACAATTATAATTTTTTAAGCGATTCAAGCAGGCTGCCGCAATACCATACATTATCATCAGTACAGTTTTTATTCAGTGATCCTAAATTTTGCCTGATTCACATAACGATATTATGTATAAACAAGTGACTTACTCCCATAATTCCTTGAATCTTGAATCTCTGAATAATTGGAGTGATGATATCTTTTAATGATGCAAATATATTGCAAACATGAATACGTTATTTGAAAAGATTTAATCAATAGTGCATACATCTTTTTCATACTTGAACATCTAGACTTGTTAGTGGCATTTATTAACATAACTGTACACTATCATGAGTAATGTTCAGATTGATGGGTACATTTATGCATCATACAATGCTGGATTAGACTATTGAGGTGAAAATATATTTTTTTGGGGTAGTCAGATAAAGTTGAAAAAAAATTAAATTATTAAAAAATTCACCTACCCGCCATCGCCAATTTTGATACCTGAAAGATTTTTCAAGATGACGTGAAAAGACACAGAAATTAGAAAGTTTTATGTAGCTCTGTGTCGTTCTGTTCAAATATATATATATTTTAGATGTCAAGTTCCTGTAGAACTCTTATAACTTATTCAGAACATTATTCACTGGAGCACAGAAAATTTGTTCTGACAGTACAACTGAACATGAAATAAAGACTCTGAAGGATACTTTATCTAAGAATGGATACCCCGGGAAGTTCATTAATAAATACTCTAAAGAAATCAGCCCCTGCAAAACTATCCAAACAGTTCCAAAGAAATCTGTCCATATCAATTTGCCATTCAAAGGAGATGATGTACAAGACGTAGTCAATCGAAGACTCAGTAAAGCTAACAAGAGAACTTAATATGCTGCAAAACTCATTCTTGTTCCCCTATCACCACCAAGCTAGTGTTTTTGAACAATCTGGAAAAGACCAGTAGCCAATCCTCAACACTTAAAGCTGCGTAGATCAATTTGAGTGTGCTTTTAGAATTAAATACATACGTCTAACAGGATGGCTATTGTCCATTAGCATGATGGAGTGTTTGCGAAAGTGGTTGAAGAAAGCTGAAGTCATAGTGCCAAAACGTTCAATAACAAAGCATCTTATGGACTACAGACTTGATATCGACGCGCTCTCAAGTCATTCACAATTGCCAGCAGAAAAACAAACAGAATGATCCTTCTAATTGTGGAGGCTTGTGAAGTTCGGATTTATAAACCAGATGTCTGTGTACAAAAGGAAATGGTAATCACACTTATTCTGGCATGTTCTACTTGTTAACACTTTATTCTACTTCTTATGATCACTATTTCTAATCTACTTGTCATTACCATTATCTTGAGTCATTTCAACATTATTATTATTACTCTTAAATTATTCCTTTAAGTTCCCGGAGGAATATAAGGCTTCCAGCTAGAGCATTGAGGTTTCAGAAACAATATTGTTCCTTTTACTTGATGTGGTTGCTAGCCTCATGGCCCAGCCTCCCCACTTTACAGGTTTTATTGCCAGATTAGGCAGGTTTAGGAGTACGTCATCCGGGGATCGAACGCCGGACCATAGGTATGGTTGACCAACATTCAATTCCTAGATCACCGACGCATATTCTTATTATTGATGATTATTATTATTTTTAGTATTACTAGCGTTATTATCATTATCAGTATTATTCATTTCATAACTCTTGATATCTCATAGGTTTCACATGTTCCAATATAATTCTAACAATATATATTTATACATATATATTACTTCAATCAGAGTATCCAGCTGAGGAGTTCTACTGAGATTCGATGAATTCATTAAATCCTGCTTTGATAACGTGTGATACATTCAACATTTCACACGACATTGCCCCAGGATAGGACATAATGTGTTCGAAATTCTATCGTTATCCAACTCATTACCACCTCAAATAGCTGCACCATCAAGTTAATGGGAATTCTAATCAAGAACTAACTTAATAGTTCTAGAAACACACTAGGTGATCAAATCACCATTGCACAAATGTGCAAATTATAATTGTGGAAATTTCAGTAACTCTGCAATGGATCATAAGAACGTTTCCCCTAGCAACCTCACCCTGAATTCTTTAATTAAGTCATCAAAATAAAGTTATGAAGAGGGATGATATATATATATATATATGTTACATTACTGCGACAACTTACCAGCAGGCGTAACAGGCCGAAGCAATAAGTATGTTAGTATTAGAACGCTGATAATCCACAAGTGCTTCATTGTGCTGCTTTACTAATTTTGAATAAATTTTATCGGGTTTGCTTCATATATATATACACATATACGTGTGCAGTCTAGTCGAATCTTTACGTAGTCAGATGATTTGAATGCATATATACGTCATGTATTTATATGAATTTGTGTGCTGTTTTCTATTATCTTTGGGGGTGTACTTTACGCAGGTGTATGTGTGTGTGTGTTTGTGTCGCTAATTTGATAGATAGTGGGCATATAAATAGTTACTTTTGTTCTCTGTATAATTAAACTTATACTATATATATTACAAATCTTGTGTATTGTGAAGTTGTTTTCGTAGACTGATGATGCATATGACTTCTTTGGAAGTCAAAACACTTTAAGAAACATTACATTTGTATGTGTAGTAGTAGTGTGTAGGCAGTGTAACACATATTCGAATCAATGTAGTCTTCAAACGATATTCACTTACTTGTATAGTTGGAGGGGGGTAGGGGTGGTTACTTTTCAAACCAGCCAGAGACATTTTGGTCTAGATAGTGGCTGGTAGTTTTCTATGGCTGTGTGCTACGGTTGTTATACTTTGTATGTGGTAGTCAGCCTTACTTCCACTGTTTAAAACATGACGAATTTCTCAATTATTGACTGGGGATTGGAAATCACAACAGGCCATAACTGCCTGGTCCCACTAAACAGGAAAAACTTGAAAACTCATTGCAAAGTGGAAAGATAATTTAAGATGAATTTTGCTGTTAGTGTTTATGTTCAGCTAGTCTGACTGCCCCTGTTCTACTAGTTTGACCTATGTATTTGACCTGACAATCATTCAAGCCTGGTACTAGATAAACTAAATTGTTTTGTTTTAAAGGCTCCTCAGGATTGATCCTGTAACCGACAAAGCTTGTTTCTCATTGAGTTTGTGGGTTTGAATGCTAGCCACTTTTATTCTTGCCTTGTTAAGAATTCTGCGTAAGGCTTCTGAGGTTCCTTCCTTGTATGGAATTACTACTTGATGGTTTAGATTCCTTATTGTTGGTGTCGTCATTAATATTATTATTATCACTATCGCTACCATTATTATTTATTTTATTTTTACATTTCCTTATACATTTCCTGACTAATTTATCCGGGTAATTATTAAGTTTCAAGGCTTCTTTTATGTGTATCAGTTCCTGTTTTAGACTTTCCTTGGTACTACTTAGTTTTTGTGCTTTGTCATTTAAACATTTCACCAATCCTATTTTTACTGACATAGGATGGGATAATCGGAAGTCTAAATATCTGTTTGAATGTGTGGGTTTTCTGTAAACACTAGTGTTTAACTTCCCATCTTCTTTCCTTTTTACGCTACAATCTAACATTGGAAGCTATCCTTTTTGACTTTTGAAGTCATAAGTGAATTGAATTGCCTCCACCTTTGGCTTAATATGTTCGAAAAATCTGTCTATATCTTGTGTTCTAAGTACAGTGAATGTGTCATCTACATACCTCCACAATACTTTTGGAGTGGGGCTGAACGTTTCAACCGCTATGCTTTCCCACCTATCCATGAATATCCCCAGTTGTAGCAGATATATTCATTCCCAACCCAAAAGTATGGTGGAGGTATGTAGATGACACATTGGTTTTATTCAAGTATCTAATCATCAATTTTTACTCATGTATATACACGAAGCAAGAAAGCTGTGTGAGTGACATGATATGAGTGTAAGTGGCCATAACTTTTGCTGGAAATGTGGTCATCAGTTAATATTACTTTACAATAACACTACGTGACTTTATCAAAATAAAATCTTATCCATAATGGAGTTATACTCCACCGTAGTGCGCGGTGGAAGACCATTGGAACTTTCTGAAGGTAATTTTCAACGAAAAGTGTTCAACGGTTTTAGGAAGAAAGAAGAAACAAGACAAGAAATGGCTCTCAACAGACACTTGGAAGCTAATAGAGGAGAGGAGAATGGTGAAAGAAAAAATGATTCAATGCAAAGATGGACAAGAGAAAGAGACGCTGAGCTAAACTTACACAGCACTGGACAAAGAAGTGAAGAAGAGTGCCAGGAAGGACAAAAGACAATTCTGCGACAACCTGGCTAGTGAAGCTGAGAAGGCAGCAGGCAAAAGGGACCTGAGGACACTATATCGGATAACCAAGTCTCTATCCGGGAAGAGATCAACACAAGTGAAACCTATAAAAGACAGCCAAGGGAACCTAATTACCAAAGAAGAAAGACAGATTAAACAATGGGCGGACCAATTCAAAGGAATCTTGAACCGACCACCACCTACAACCCGTCCAGAAATACCAACAACAGCACGTACATAACTGCAAGTTGACACCGATCCTCCAACGAAAACTGAAGTCTTGAATGCAATCAAGCTTCTGAAAGCTGGAAAAGCAGCTGGACCAGATGGAATACCCCCGAAAGCACTGAAAACGGATCCATAGACGACAGCAGATATGCTGACTCCATTACTTCAAAAGGTCTGGAAGGAGGGAAAGGTGCCCAATGACTGAAGGAAAGGTTACCTTGTGAAACTACCAAAGAAGGGCAACTAAGGACTCTGCAAGAACTGGCGAGGAATCATGCTCCTGTCGACGACAAGTAAAATCCTGATTCGCATCATCCTGGAGAGAATCAAGGACTCACTGGATACAGAACAAGCTGGATTCAGGAAAGGCAAATCATTTTCTGACCAAATCGCAACTCTACGCATTATCATCGAACAAAGCATGGAATGGCAATCAAACCTCTACCTCAACTTTAGAGACTTTGAGAAGGTCTTCGACAGCGTTGACCGCGAAGTGGTTTGGAAACTACTCGAGTACTACGGTGTATCCCAAATATTCATCAACCTTATTCAACAGCTGTACGACAACGGCACATGTCAAGTGATCCACAACGGAAAAGACAGCGAGGCGTTTGGAGTAAACACAAGAGTCAGACAAGGGTGCTTATTATCACCAATGATATTCCTAATTGTGGTGGACTGGATTATGCGTCAGACAGTGCTAGGCAACGAGAAGACAGGGATATCCTGGACCGACGTGAAGAACCTAGAAGACCTGGATTTCACGGATGATTTATGTTTGATGTCACACAAAATCGAAGACTTACAAGCGAAAACCGACAAACTGGTCGAAGAAGCAGCCAGAGAAAACAGGACTCCAGGTGAACATAGACAAGACGGAGGTTATGAAAATAACCAACCAACAACAACAACAGCAGCAACATCCAGCGCCATTCACCATCAACGGGAGGGATTTGAAAGAGGCTACTTTATTCACTTATCTAGGGAGCACTGTCTCAACTACAGGGGGAACATACGAGGATGTCAAATCGAGAATCGGGAAGGCGAGAAATACATTCATCAACCTCAAACCAATCTGGAAATCTTCGTCACTCAACTCAGCATCAACAACAAAATTCGGATCAATGAAAATTACAATTACGGAATATACACATTGGGTCATAGGAGTTAATAAAAAGACCTATGACCTTATGTGTATATTCCGTAATTGTAATTTTCATTAATTCAACCCCTAACCAGTAACTGTTCTGGAACTTTCGCATCCATTTGATAAAAATTCGGATTTTCAATACAAACGTCAAATCAGTCAGTTCTTCTATACGGATCAGAAACTTGGCAGGTCACAAAGAATATTTCCAACAGCCTGTTGCAAACCTTTATCAACAACTGTCTTCGCTCTACAGTGAAGACCAGATGGCCGGAAAGAATCGCCAACAGGAAACTATGGGAACTAACAAAACAAGAACCAATTGCCAAACAAATATGAAGGAGAAAGTGGAGATGGATTGGACACTCGCTGAGGAGGTCGCTGGGTGACATCGCGCGTCAGGCCATTGCTCGAGTGGAACCCAAAAGGGTAGCAATGCGTGGGACGTCCAATGGTGACATGGAGGAGATCGCGTGAAGAGGAGTTGAAACAGTATGGACTAACATGGATGCAGGTGAAAAGTACAGCAGAAGACAGAAGCAAGTGGAGACGTGCAGTTAAAGCCATATGTTTCACTAGGAATTCAAGGGAACAATAATAATAATGACAGTGAACAAGTTCTATTTTTGTATGAATGTATACAAATTCTTTATAGGATAATTTTCTTTAATATAACACATAAAGAATGATACGTTACTAATACTTGAATGATATTTTATTAAAAGTTTTACCTGTTAAAATAAAAAATGTATTCTGTTCGGAAAGGTTGCATTTAAATTTAAAGTTAAACAAGCAACTGCTTTGTTTTACTAATTTATAAATCAGATTTAATTCGAATGTTTGAGAAAATGTTTATTCATGTGTATGTATGTCTTTTATGATGTGGAACAAATATGTGTGCGACGCTTATTGAGTTCCAACTGATGCAAGGACTTTTCCACCGAATAAGTCCCTAAAAGAAATTGAGGAGTGTTTTAATTACAAACAGAACATAACAAAATTTAAGAGTTAAGGCGCGTAAAGTATCACAATTAAAGGAAACTATACAAAGAAAGGTATGAATTTCAATCACAAAGGCTAAATTAGGGAACAATGCAAAAAAAATGGTTCGTTGAATAGAGTTGCGCACTTCTCAGGAGTAACTTCAGTAATTTCTTATGATTATCACTTATATATATATTCCCCTTCATAATCAGTTGAGCTACACTCATTTCTTCAAAAACTACGTCCACGTTTCAAGTCAAATATAACTAAACCCTGATTTCTTTGTTTGTCGATTGGCATGCTATATCTAAGGATCTTGGTTTCAGGTTGACAAATCGGTTCCTTGTGTAGATGACTGGACGATGTCGTGTCATGGAACTTGAAGTCAATTGATGGATGGTGACTAGTGGTGGAATTCGCGGTGCGCATCTCATCTTATTTCAGACTCTTCCGCTAGATGTACTTGCATTCCCCATGAATAATGGTGTTCCAACCTAGGTTTCAATCCAATGGCCAGTTAATCGACGGGCTCTTATGGCCCGATTAACCTAGTTGGCGACGCCTCGACGTTTGATGCTATGGTCACTGAGTTAGAGCCTCTGTGGGAGCACCATCACTCAGTGGGGAATACAGGGACAGCAAGCTGATGACTCCCAAATACGATGAGAA